AGCCCTTCTTCCGTCGTTCGTCCCACTCAAAACGTGTGAGAGAGCGAACCCCACGATTTCGATTAAACAGATTCGCAAAATCTGTCGAAGCACTAGCTGAAGAACGATAATTAGGAAAGGATTTTTTAGGATCAACTTGTGAAATTGGTGGTTTAGAAGTTGTAGATATAGCCTGAGATCCTCTTAACTCCGAATGGCCCACATGCACAGCCCGCGTTCCACCCTCAAAATTCATTCCCGGACCAGGACCAGTATGATACCTGAAGCGGAATTGAGAATTGCTTCCTGATGAAGGATGGAGCATCTCCTCCACGTCCTTCGCCAGATACATAGCTTCAAGACGTGATTTGGGACGAGGTAAACGGACCCATTGCTTGACGTCATCACGCAAACCAGCCAAAAAATACCCCAACGACTGTTCCTCTGGTAACCGAGGAACTAACGAGAGCATATATTCGAAATCATCGATGTAGTCATGGATAGAGGATACATGTTTGATGGTTGCCAACATCTCAAAAGAATTGTGAATTTCCAGACCACTAAAACGATGCAGCAGCTCTTTGGTTAATTGCGCCCAAGTAATTGATTCGTATACTTGCTTCACAATGGTGAACCAATGGACAGCGACCCCTGTCATACTTAATTGCGCCAGTCGTATACGCAAATCAATTGGAGTGTTATTGATTTTGAAATACAACTCGGCTTTTTGAATCCATCCTTGTGGGTCAAAACCGGAAAATTCTGGCAACTTGATCTTCTTCACAACCCATGGTAAACCAGCAGAAAATCCTTCTCCAGACCCTGGCCGAATTGCGTTCCCCATCGTTGGTGGTAGAAAATCCATACCGCCCGGAGTAGCTGGTGGTGGAGTGACCCTATCGAGTCCAGAAGCATCGCCAGGAAGTGAGAAAGGTTGTCTTTCCTGCTGTTTCACCCAGCCAAGCATTATTTTACGAAATTCCATTGACTCAACTCGTTCATAATCCATTGAGGCCTTGATTTCGAGAATATCAGACTGAATTTTAGCAATCTGTTCGTCGTGTTGATCGAGACGTGCTGATTGAGAACGGGTTTCCATCGACGGTTGAACCATGATCGAGGCAGGTCATGACCGGTCACGACCGGTCACGGCAGCAGATCACGACAGCAGGTCACGGCAGGTCACAGTAGGTCGGACCAATGATAGAGAGTAGAAATAGCAATTGGAATTAACACAGAAAAATACTATGGAAGRAGGTTATTTGATTGAAATTGAAATGAAAAAGAAGAACAATTAACAATCCAGGGAATCTTCCCTTCTCTCAGCAGGAAACGAGAGCCAAAATTGTAAAACGTAGGAAATCCCAGCCTGTCCCCTACGCTCCCTCCATTCCAACAATATAGCCTCTCTCCTCTAACAGACTTAGCCACTTTCCGATTGTCCCCTTTTAGCCCTCCTTTTATAAACTTTTAACATTTTATCCCCTTGAACTAATTTATCCCGATCCTTATCATCCAGGCACCCTTCGGACTATATGGTTGGCAAGAAACCACATGGTTTTCAACCAGCCTCCATATGTTGGATACACATTGAAATTGTATAGAAGATAAAGATTATTCTTCATTGAGACGTTGAAGCAAAATTGTACTATCCACAGCAAGCTCACATTTGGTTTCAGCAGCCTTGGGTTGTTACAGGGCAACACCAAACTCTCGTGTTTGAAGGGTCGTTAAGGTTTTCAAAAAGTCGTTGAGGATTAGCCGCCACCTAAGGATCACCTAGGATAAGATTGACACACTACGCAAAAGGCCCTGACCTCTTGTGATAAGTGGAAACGAAAGTGAACACACTCAAATTCAGAAGTTTTTATTCAATCATAAGCCTCTTACAGAAGAGCTTTAAAAGGGCTTTTATAGGCAAAGCCAAACCCCTCTAAAAAAATCCTAGAAACGTACGAAACTAGATGAAACCAACTTGCTTAGAGAACCTTGAAAAATAACTAACCTTCTAGGATAAGGAGATAAGAACGAAAGATAATAACCAACTAAATAACCACTTAATAAGGAAACTTTTAAAATAAATTATAATCTTCTAGAAAAGACGCAAATATATTTAGGACTTCTTGATCACTTCATTTTACGGTCTTTATTGAATATAGTGGTCTTGACTTGTGTTGCAAGTGTTGTACTGCAGGTGCACACAAGTCCGACTCTGTCTCTACTGCACCTGCATCATGGGTGCTTGTCACCCACGGATAACATCCCAAAGAATGTACATTTAGCTAGTTTCTTTAGTTAAACGGGCCAAGGGACAGTCTCAGGTAGACAGTTTCTATGGGGGCGTAGGCCTCCCAAAAGGTAACGGAGGCGTGCAAAGGTTTCCTTGGACCGAACGGATTTGATACTTTAATGTAGATCACTCTCCAAATGCTAGTACGCATTTGATCCTCGACCTATTATTGTTCATCAATGTAGAGTGTTCTCTACAACTTGGTTGAATATTTAATGCAATTGCCTTTCTTTTAGAGCATCTCCAACAGATTCTCTATAATGACTCCAAAAATGGAGAAGCAAAAATTGAATCTCCAAAAACAATCATTCTATCTCCAACAGTTTCTCCATTTTAGAGATCTCAACATAAGTTATAATATTAAAATATTCAATAAATTTATTCTCCTAAGAAACTTCCAAATAAATTTATATAAAATAGTAATGCAATCAACTTCAATGGTGACGACAATAAAGCAATATTTCTCTCTTCAAATATGTTGTACTATTATTTCACATTTGATATTGCACAAGAATTAGGAAATAAGAACAGAATAGCGCTCAACTTTCCCCGCGGATTTGGGTCGTGCCCGGGGTCGCGCCCCAAGTCGCGGGACTCTCTGTTTGTCTTTCAGCGGTTTTTCCCACGTCGCAGGACTCTCTCAATTGTGTTAGTGCCATTGGCACTTTGCAAGAAAGAAGATATTACCACAGGTGACAAAAACGACATCTTTGAAGCAATTACTTTGTAAAGTGCTTAGAGCTTTGCTTTGCTCTACCTTGTTTAATGAATTGTGCATTTGAGATTATTTGTTTGCTTGTAACTTTGATGGGGTGTTGGCCATGCCGAAGCTCATCATAGTTGGAATTTAATTTATTGCTACCTCGTGCCAATTTACAGTGTCATCTACTATTTTTGGTTCAACTATTAGGACTCGTATTTCGTTGGACTGGGATTCGTTTCGCTATCGGGAGTTTGTGCATGATGGTGGAGTGATGTGATATTATTATATTACATTGATGTTGCACAAGAATCGGGAAACAAGAACAAAATGGTGCGCGACTTTCCTCGCGGCTTTGGATCGTGCCCCAAGTCGCAGGACTCTCTGTTGGTCTTCCCGTGGTGTTTCCAAAGCTCAAACCCGCGGTGTTACCAGCACAACTCACTAACTGGAATCCACCTTATGTCAATGTGTTTCCCGCGGCCTTGTAAGCCGCATGTGTCCTCTTCGTTGGCAACAGATAGGTGGCCAGCCCTTACTTTTTCCCATGCTTTAACTTTTCCTTTTACTCCTTTTGTCTATTCTATTGTTTTTATAGAATCCTTTTCAGCCAAAACCTCACTTATCCATACACTTTGCTTCCTCAACACATAACACCTATTATACTCTCTCTAGAAACTTTCTTTATCTAGTATATGTGCATTTATGAGAGTGTTCTTGGTGTTTTTGGTGTTCTTAAAGATTTGCCAGTTGATCTTGGATCTAAGGATCTTTTTACAAGCACTTTGTAATCTCCTTGGTGGTAATAAAATCTTGCTCTCTCTCTCTCTTTGGTGTATGTACACTATCACAATGATAGTGGAACCACGTTAAATACTTGCGTATGGATCTTGGCATATCTTGTTATTATCTATGCTATTGGTTGTTTACCTTCATTGGAGCATGTTGTGCAACATCTAAATCATTGTTATCCGCATTTGTGGTTATGTTAGTTGTGCTCTTGGATCTCTACTAATTTTGTGACCCTAGAAATCACTTGTTATAGTTGCATTTGTGGCATATTCATCCTTACAAAAAATAAACTTCATTGATGTTTACTTCATTTTGCGAACACATTGATTGTTTCACATTAATGTGGTCCCTAGTAATGAACCAATTTTCTATTGCCAAAATGCCAGCACTGCCAAAACAAAAAGAATCAAAATAAAAATCCATCAACATCAACCAAACAACGTAGATATCAGAAGATTTTAATCATACAAGAATCCTAAGAAGCTTAACCAAACTAGAACCTACGATCAATTCATAAGTCAAAAGGCTGAGCAGGCAGTTCACAGCAAGGGCGGATACACATGAGTCTAATAGGGGTCAAAGGCCCCCAACAAAATGCCTCACAATTGATTAAAAAATATTTTTTATTTAGTGTTTGCTATTGGGACCCAAACACCAAAATAAAATGCCCCCAACTATGATAAACATCATGCTTTTAATTGGTTCAATCTCATATTCCCCGGTACTCAATAAACAACAACTCAACTTAACACATACATACTTCTCCTTAGAACTCAACCCAAACCTAATGTCTTACTATTTAACGAGCAATGTGTTTACTTGTTTTAAGTGTAAACTGTAGAGAATATATATATATAGTATAATGTGTTGGTTTAACTAAAATAGTAAAAAAAAAACTGAAAATCCAACCGAATAAGTTATCTTTATTCTGTTCATAGAACCATTTAAGCCGTAAATGAAAACCTAAAACCTTTTTTGGTTTGGACGAATTGTTCGGTTTCGAGATTTTTCGACACTCCTAATATGCCCCCAACCATGATATTTTATGGATCCGCCACTGGTTCACAGCAAAAAAAAATCAAACTGAAACAGTATGCAATTCAAATAGCCAATTCAATCTTTCTATCTGCATAACTACAGTGAATCAAAAAATGGAACTTAAAACAATTCGATTAGATAAGCAGTTTGAGCAAGCAACCGACAAATTGTACATGAGTAAGCACGGAGATATTGAATTACTTGAGATAAGCGGAGATGATCCGCCTAAGAGATTTGACTTCTAAAGCTTCTTCGTACTTCCTCCGGCGAAGTTCTTCGTCGCTGTTCGACATATTCTCGTTTCGACTGCTGAAACGTATTGCGGCGAAGAGACTTGAAAGTTAAAACAAATGGGTGAAAACGGGTCACCCATGGGCCTCTTTAGGTGTCGTATTTATTGGACCGGATTCCGACCCGATTCACCGGTGTTGTTCAAATGTCAAACTTTAGAGTAAATTACAAATTTAGTTCTTATGGTTATTTAGGGTGCGTTTGGTATACAAATAGTATAGTATAGAATAGAACAGGACAAGACATGACAGAACAGGACAATTGTTCAACGTTTGGTAAGACATGACAGAACTGGACAGAACTGGTTAAAATGACCAATTTACCCCCAGTGAGTTGTTTAGTGTTTTTTTCCACTAAATAATCAATATAAATGTTAACAAATAAGGTGTGCAAAGTATAACTTACATCAAACCACTACTACTTGCAAAAATACATTTGTAAAAATACATTTGCAAAAATACATGATTTCATAATCAATTAATGATATATGAAAAAGATAAATATAATATAAGCATCAAGAATTCATTATCAAAGCAAATCTATATGCATTCCATATTAAAAAGAAAAAAAACTACTATCAACAAGCGTACAATCAATTAAAATTGATTAAATATCAAATAGTAAATGAAATATAAGCATAAAAAAAACACAATTTGGCTAGTGATCCCATATAGTATCATCACATTCATAAAACTTGGTTTCTAGAAAACAAAAGAATTCACCTATTACCTGTACAATTTTCTGAAAATACATGCAACATTGAAAGAAAAGAGATCTCATAAATTGTCTGTCGGGTATGAGTCATTTAGTCACTAGCATTCCCTGAGTTGTCCGACCTGCACTTGTCTAAACACTCATTACAGGGTTGTGCCACTTGTCATGTGACTTCTTGGTCAAATGCTCACCCGCTAAAATTGATCATGAAACTTTCAAATGAAATAACATGCTAGAATTATTTGAAAACAAAATAAACACATAGCATGCAACTAATCATAAAATAACATACATGTAAAATATATCGTATATGTAAACTGAAACATCATGCATATGTACACATTATCATATAAATCATATAATGCTCGAAAATAAATTTATACATAGGTATGCATCTCATTGTAAGTCTCATGAAGACTCACTCACATGATTGCGTATAGATTGATTACTGATAGATCTTGACCAAATGCCTATACATTTCTTACCATAACATCTCATTAACGTCTTAATTTCTCAAAAAGTCAACAAAAGTCAACTATTGTTATTCTGACCCAACCTAAAGTCAAACTTCGTATCCGAGCATCTTAATATGTCTCAAACAACTCTATTTGACCCATCATTAAAATCCACATGGATCAAACATGCCAAAAGTCAACATTTGGTCAATTCGGTTAACCTCGACTAACTTTAGTCAAACCCCAAGTCTAAAACTCGATGGCATCCCAAAAACATTTTAATATCTTATAATCTCATCTCTCTAAATTAAAACTTCACAATAATTACTTTACTCAAATTACGGCGCTTAAATCATCAAAACAATTTACTGATTTATATAAGCAACCTTCTTAGAAAATAAACAATTAACTAATATTTGTTTATTTTCT